TAAGAGGCAGTTGAATGTTTACTTTGGACATTTAACATCGTTGATCCTTCAACCTTTTGAAATATTACAATTTGTCCAATACTTATATTTCCGCTCAATCGAAGGGGGCGAGTTTTTCGATCTGTACATTGGAGCGAGTAGGTTTTCCTATGTTTATTTCCTAGTACAGATGTGAACGGACAAGAATTTCCTTTGATAATGATTAAACTTATTTGCTGTAAGAGCCAGCTGATTGTTTACTTTGGACATTTAACATCGTTGATCCTTCAACCTTTTGAAATATTACAATTTGTCCAATACTCATATTTCCGCTCAATCGAAGGGGGCGAGTTTTTCGATCTGTACGTTGGAGCGAGTAGGTTTTGCTATATTTATTTCCTAGTACAGATGCGAACGGACAAGAATTACCTTTGATAATTGTTAAGCTAATTTTCTGTAAAAGGCAGTTGAATGTTTACTTTGGACATTTGTCATCGTTGTTCTTTCAACCTTTTGAACTATTACGTCAGTCCATTATTTACAAAATTTACAAGTCATAATTATTTTTCTGATTCCAATTTAATGTGTATACTTCATCATTTTGAATATTTCATTTTTCTGAGTGTACTCAAAATTTAAATTCCATTCCCGATCAAAATCATGTGACAAATACTGTGTATAATATTTTATAATGTTTTCATGCGTATATTTTCTGAATTTCTTTTACATACTTACGTACCTCTATTTTTGAAGTCTATTACTTTTGAAGTTTTTGATAGTATCCTCTTTTTGATTTCATTATAACTTTCTTCGAGAGCACAGACTTACATTGATTGTTGGTTCAAACTTTTGATGTTTGTTTACATATTTTTGAGTGGTTTTGAACTTTGACAGTATTTTGTAGTCTGGATAGTTACATAGATTCGTTGCGATGTATGCCTTTGAGGGTCTTGTACTATCCACAGTTTCTTTAATTGAAAGTGTTTTCTTCATATGCATTTTATTTTCTTCTTGAGACTTGTCATATATGCTTTCCGCCTAGTTGCAAATCTGTGCGTATTGATAAACTCTTGAAACCTCTGGCGTATAAGTAAAACTCACTTTTGATATAGTAATTTATGTCTCAGTTCAATTTGATTTGAAGTAATTGTCAATTCCTTCTTGAGATTTTTCATACATGCTTTCAGCCTTTGTGCACATTTGTGCGTATTGCTAAGTCTTGAGCTTGGTTGCGACATTGCTTTCATGTTTCGCTATAGATTTTGAAATATCTGGTGATTTTGCTATTGCATTATTGCATTTGTTTTGATAGTCTGCTCTCATAGTTTTTTTTTCGACTTCTTATTTCTTTCAATTTCTGTCTTGACTTGAAGTAATCGCCAATTCTTATAGATTCAGAATAGTAATTCTTTTTCCATACTTTACACTGGTAAACTATTATAGTTTTTCTAATCTTGTAATATTTCATATTTGAACTTAACTTTCATTTTACAATGTTATGGTCATACTCAGTGTAGACTTTGAAGTGCGCTGATGATACCAGTGATCTACATGAGAATATTCCATAGACTATAGACATTCTTGTCTAGGGCTTCGGAGTGCACCTATGGTGACCCTAGAAAGTTGTCTTTCTCTCATATTTTTGCTTTAAATCAAAATTCGAATTCTTACCTATCATATTTATTTCTATTTCTTGTTCACTAGATTGTTTTTTTTTATAACTCCAATTTTGCACCTACATATATCGTAGACTTTTGCATACAATTTTTGCTTGCGGCATTACTCTCATGTATCATGATTTATTAAAATATCTTGTGATTTTCGTTTCGCTATTTTGCATTTTACATATGCTCACTTCGTTTCTCAATTATTACTCATGAAACTTTTAATATTTTGCTTACTTTTGTATTTTTTTTGAGAATTCTTTATAAAATCATGCGCAGATAGCTTTGATATTTCCTTTCACTTTATGATTTTAATACTATTAGATTTACAGTTGCACTTGTGTTGCACTTAGCTTTTTCTAAATTTATTTTGCTCTTTTCTACGTTATATTGCATTCAGAATTTTTTTTTTGGTCTGGCTCTTATGTTGTCACATGACCCGAAAATTTTGATTGAACTTACGCTGTATTTTGACTTTGAAAATCTTACTTCAATATTTCATGAATGCCTCTTATATACTTCAATTCTCTGAAAACATTTTGAATTATTTTGTAGTCTTACAGACTGCTGGCGCCCGACAATTTTTTTTGGAATCAGAACTGCACTTAGTTAACATCTTTTTTTGATTAAAATACCTTATTGATCAAGTTTTCATTGGTTTAGTACTTGTAAATTGTTTTGTTATATGACTTGAATTCCTAATGGAATTTGTTAATTTCTTTTGATTTTCATATTTTGAAAATAATAATGCACTGTCTTTTTTTAATATTGGATATTGGTTTAAAATATCACTGTATATGATATTCTTTTTGGGTTTGGAGTATTGCGAGATAATCTGGCAATTGTTTTGAGAAAAATTATTATTATTTTTTTAGTACCTCTTATGGTTTAGGTACTTACTTAGTTTTGAAGTTTTTAGTAGTCAGTCGTGCATTTTGGATGAGACTGTGATTCCTCACTTCGTGCTTGGACTACTGCTGAAGCTTTTGGTTTATTATTTTTCTCGTCCTAGGTGTGACGATGTTTTATGTTTTGGATTGTTCATCATATGATGATAGTTTTTTTTTAATGCAACTTCACTGTACTTTTCAGCGAGTTGGTGCTATAACCATCCCTCTTGTTTGGTAGACTTGAGGCTATCCCTTTTTCTTCCAATTCTCTTCTAACATTTTTGTTTCTACCTTACTTTTGCTACTTGTTATCTGGTCGAATGGTTGTACATTTGTCCTTCCGTGATAACTTTCAATTTCCTTGTTAAAAAAAATTCTTGAATGCTTCTTCTTATTTTTTTTTTGGTTAAGTAGGGGCGAGTGTAACGGTTTCACCGTCCGATTGTATTTATTAAATCACTTCTCGATTATCATTTCAGAATCGCAAATCATTAATCCCATCTCTAGGTTTTTTACTTGGAAAATTTTCCGCTTGGAGCGCTTGATGCGGAGTTCCTGATCTGCGATCTTCCTCGCACTTCCTTTTCACTTGAGCCGCCGATCGAACAAGAGCTAAGAATTTTCTTCTCTGTAGCACAAGGTCATATAGCACCATGTGCTAGAATTTTGTAGAATGTGTGTCCGTATAGGACAAAATGATTGGGGCCACCCCCTTTCTCTTTCCCTTTCTCTTTCTCTTTCCCTTTCCCTTTTGCCTTAGTCTTTGACTTTGCGTTGCTTGGCCTATCACTTCACCCATGCATGTGCCTTGGCAGCGCCATCGCCTTTAAGTTCAACTTCGCCTACAACTGGTTATGAAGCCACTATATGTGAGGTCACCCCTCATAACTGGGACCTCCACTTCAAGCACCTGGCCATCCTCGCTTCAGTCGAGTCAAAATGGACCAGCGAAAGATAAGTTGATAGTTTTATAGCAGCGCCAAAGATGTAAAACTTATTTTGTTCTTTAAAACTGTAAAATTGTAATGTAATGAAAATGCTTTTTTTTGTTAAATAAAATCTGTTAAATTTTTGTGTTCTGTTTGTTCTTCTATCCTCTAGCCATGCCATGGTCGACACACAGCTACACGCCTGTGGATGTCTTCATGCCACCGACTGAGCTACCGGAAGCTAATGGTAACCCCCTTTCTGTGATTGTGCAGAAAGGTTGGAATCTTCATTGCATTCCATCTTTTCTGGACTTTTTGCGGAAAGGAAGCGTTACAGGCTGTCGGAGAAGATGGTCCTCCTCCCCCCAAAATGCGGGATACACAAGGCAGAATCGCAAATATTTCCGTCTGGAAAATAGTGGTGTATCCACCAGGAGGCAGAGATAGCCTAGTTCTAGGCCCAGAGACTCCGGCGCCAGAGCCCTCTTCGGTGATTGAGCCGTCTGTGTATCAGACCCGCCCACTAACTCCGGAAAGCCTCCGGCTACCGGCAAGCTACTCCTCCCTCGTTGGATACTCCACATTAAACTTGCGGTTGAAGCGATATTTAGGGGTAATGGGATGACCCCTGCTTAGAAGGACGGAGTCCTCCCGTTGCAGTTCGACTAAGATGGCAGTATGACCATTGGCAGGATTCAACAAGGCTCAGCTGCCCTGTCTCCACTGTCGATGTGTGACTACTCTCGCTTCACCTCGGACCACTAGATCCAACGGTGGGAGATCCAGCAGAACTTCCATTGCGCTTAATGGCGTTGTTCGCGCTGGGCTTGTAATGCTAATACATGCCAAACACTACATTTTATTGAGTTTGGCCTTAGTTGTCTCAGTTCCAATGCAAGGTCGCCAGACCAGGGAGCCGTACAAGAGAGAGATGGACGTACTATCATCGTCTAGAGCCGTGTACCACTTTGTATTTAAGCAACCACCTTACACCGACAACTCGTCTGTAGGCCCACATTGAATTGCGAGCCTTGTTAACCTTGTATTCAACATGCTCTCTCCAGTACAGTTCCTGGATATTTCAGTGATTGGGATAGAACTAGTCTAGTCCCAAACAAGGTCGGCAAGACAAGCCCGTCAAGCCTTCTTCTCCGAGTGAATAGGATCAGCTCGGTCTTTCCAGCGTTGACAGAAAGATCGACTTCCCTACACCACGATTCCACAGAGTACTGCATAATTTCAGAGACTGTTCTACAAAAACGACTTCTAACTACTATGATTAAGTCGTCAGCATAGGCTTGCACGTAGACACCCGCACTGCTGAGCCTAACTAGGAGTTCGTTCACCACAAGCCACCACAGTAGGGGTGACAGATCTCCGCTCTGTGGGCAGCCTCGAGCTACGCTGACGCTGCAGGTAACAGTGATTAAACGTTTGCTCACTAGGATCGTTGTGAACGTCCATCTAAGGAGGAATCACTCAACTAAACTATACGCATTATTGGTTGCATATGTTTTGTGAGGCCACATGGTCCTTGTCTGTAGCTTTCATCTCCGAGGAGAAAGTTGGTTGAATAGCAAGATCACATCTGGATGATTATACACCTTAGGAAAAACCATTGTTATACATGGGAAATCATTTCTTGGCAACAGAGCATCGGCTCGTCTACTTTCATCGCTATTCGTACATATTTCCTACCGTTAACCGCAGACCTGTATCACGAATGAGAATAATAGGCAGATACGCTGTGTTGCCAATTTGAACATGGGAAATCATTTCTTGGCAACAGAGCATCGGCTCGTCTACTTTCATCGCTATTCGTACATATTTCCTACCGTTAACCGCAGACCTGTATCACGAATGAGAATAATAGGCAGATACGCTGTGTTGCCAATTTGAGTAGAGCTTCCCGAATTGTGGGGAATTTAGAGTTAAGTGTTGATTCATTCAAGCTTTTAATCAGCATGGCCTAGACGTTAGAACTTCATAAAGATAACATTGAAACTGAATGCTGCTGGAGTATAGCGTTTCGAATATTCAAAGCGGAGCGGGACACTATACTCGTTCAATGGGTCATCAAGCCACAGTCTTTTCAACAAAGAAATTATTTTACGAAAATGCGTTATATTTTTACGATTTTGTCGTCACCAAATCTCTGTTTCTCAAAATGTACGTCTATTGTAGAATTTTCAGCAAACTCAGCAAGAAACGTGATCTAGTATTTACTCAACATTACGGATTTCTCGAAATACATTAAAGTAGATGTCTTATGGGGATTCGGTCTCAAAACTTCCAAAATCCGCCACCAGAGGCGCTGGCGTCGCGCGCCATTGACAGGTTGTTGGACGGAATCTGTAATCACGAGTTGGGGATTCCGCCGCTAGATGGCGCTGTCAAACCAAACGGAATCTGTGTGTCATTGGACACCTGTCATGCGTCATTGGGCATCTCACGCATAGATGGCGTTAAAACGTCATCTGTCATACGTCATTGGACACCTGTCATTGATGGGTTGGGCATCTCGCGCATAGATGGCGCCGATTTGTTTGGCGCTGTACAAACCAAACGGAATCTATGTGTCATTGGACAGCTGCCATTGATGGGTTGGGCATCTCGCGCATAGATGGCGCCGATGCCGCATCTGTCTGGTGTTGGCGTGGATTACGGGGGGCAACGTGTATACAGGGGTGCAACGAAAAATAGCGGATCGATGGACCGACGGTATATCGTTAAATCGTATATAGCAAGGCGTGACCTAAATAGCGTGGTGGGCTCCTCTGGTCGGTCGGTCGGTCGGTCAGAATGTCTCATAACCTGTATACGATGTACTGTTATTATTATACAGGATGATACCGTTCAAAATGAAAATAGTATAGACATTCTGACAATTATTTCGCAAACCAGAGGTATTTTCAATAAAACTACAATAATACGTTTAATATTTTATTGAAAATAGAAAAAACTACATAGGTAATATGATATTTGAAAACCAGTGGCGTAGACGTTCAACATTTCTCTGGGTACAGGAAAATTGTCCGTTGGTGTGGCATGGATTGGAATCAGCAACAAAGTTTCCAGTAGCACACGGTGTACCATCATACTTGCAAACATCAATAATGTTGGGAAAAACACCAAAAATGTGACATTTCTTGAGTAAAAAGTTTGCTTTCTGTTCTCCACGAACGTAGACATAGTCAGCCGCATATATCACCTTATTTTTAATTATTTCATTTAACTTGGAATATTTAACGTCGCCGGAAGAATATTTAAGCCCATGGAAATTCTTCTCCAAGTAAGCGACAGTTTTCTTGTCTTTAGTATTTAATGTAGAAAAAGGTTGCGGAGGTGTAAAGATGTAATGACTTTTCTTGAAACCAATTTCGATACATAGTTCTTTAGGTACGAATAATCCGTCAACTGTAAAGCCTTGAATGTCAACAAACGCGATCCTCATGATGTCTGATGCGGAACTGAGAGTCCTTCGTTGCTTACGAGATGGTTTTAATAACTTCGGTGAGGGGGAAGTACTCGATTAAGCAGTCATGTATAATGATGCAGTAGGCCTTGGTGTTGGTTGGAAAGCCAGTATCGGCTTCGATATCCAATCTAACATCAACAGTTGATGATTTCATGGTTTCCTCTTGTTTGGAACAGTCAATAACAAACAAAGCGCGATTTTTAAAAGCGGTATAATCTAAAAGACATCTCTTCAGAGGAGAAGAAGAAGTTGTATAGCTGGTTTGAAAGTCGCTATAGTTGAAATGAGCTTCAGTAAAGTGATTGTTTGCAAAGTCCAATTGCATACGTTCGTTGGGATAGTATTCACCATTTAAAGATACTCGAATACTAGCAGCATTCACGTGATCAAACAGGGTAGGGTCTGAGGTTGCGACGTCACGTTTACCGGTTTGGAAACATACTATAATGAAACGTGGTCTTTCGATTGCGGTGCTAGTTTTAACTGACCATATTTCTCTTCTCGCATCTGCGGTAATTGCAGGCAGTTCATTCAGATCCCATTTTCTAAATGGTATAAGTATCGGCTTATCAGTTTGAATAGCTTTCAAAAGTTGTTCTTTCACATCATCACTCGGGTAAATATGTTTGATTTTCAGTTCCATGCTTTCAATAGTTATTTTCGCTGTCGTCGTCGTTCCAGTTTTTTCCTTGATAATGATACAATCGTTATCGTTTCTAGCTCTCACAAATCTGAGAGTTTGTCTGCCACACGTAATCATAGGATAATCATTGAAAATGTTGAAAATATGTTTAAGCGGCATTAGCAAGCTAAAAGACTTGTTATGTGTTGACGCCATTATAGGTGTTGAAGGATAGTTCCATCCAGCTATAGCCATATGATTTGAGTCTTCCTCACTGTAACATACGTAAGCTCGGACAGTACTTACAATACCAGGATCACGTACTGTTTCAACTTCTCTAGCGGATTCACTGTAAGTGCAAGAGTCAAATAGGAAGGCACCAAAGTTTGGAGCTAAAGATACATCTCCTGCTCCTCCTCCTCCAGTTATTTCAACTTTTCCTTTGATAGATAGAAGGGAAGCGTTCATTGCAAAGAACGAATCTACTTGATTGATGCTAAATTCCACAACATCATTACAATTAAATGACTTGATGAACGGCGTATAAGATCTATACTCAGCCTTGCGAATAGATTCATCGAATGCTGGAGATCGATATAGATCAAACATCGGAGAAGTATGTGATGCTGCTGCTGCTGCCTCCTCAGTTTTTCTCTTTTTGTACATGATTCTTGTTGTTGTTGACATGATATCCAAGTGAGCGTAGAAACAGGATATTTGATGTAGTTAGTAGTAGATGTCGTCGCTTAGGTGCTTGGGGTAATACTGAAGTTGCCTTGGAAGCACCACTATGTCTTATAATCACTAATCCCATCTGCGCTTCGCTCTCAACTCCAACACAAGAGTACTAGTTTCACCTTGAAAGTTTACAGGACGACCGTCTTGATCTAAAGCCAACACTGTGATGTTGGTTATTTCTTGTTTCGGTATAACAGGTAGATATAGTAAATTTACAGGTGTTTCGACTATAGCGTATCCAGGATCGGCTGTCACAGCAAATTCGTAGATCGTGTGTGCAGGCGTGTCTCCGTCAAAGGCTCCCGACGTAATGTTAGCATCAAAGTGTATGGTTGATACTTTTATTATGTTTACAGGTAAATCAGAAGAATGCTTTTGACCAGGATTAAGAACTTTTTTCGAGAATCCCAATAGATGTCCAAGATTATTCGGTTCTGTAAAAACTATTTTATAATACTTGCTAAAGATTTCACATTGCAGTGTATTATTGTTAGGTTTTAGAGAAAAATAATCATCCGGAGGAGCAACTTCATTTTCAAGATTCATTTGCGTTCGTATAAATGTTTCTATGTCGGTAATTTCATAACAACCTGTCGGAAACTCGATGACTTTTAATTGACCACCACCACCACCTATCCGGTCGATATAATAAAATTTATCTCCTTTTTCAATATTCGGTATGGAATTGTATGAAGTAAAAGACCTAAGCGCCAATTCATAATCTTTTTTCGGATCCAACACTATCGGTGTTGAAGGACGAAATGAAAATATATGAGTAGTGCTATTGACTCTCAACAACTGCGACATGATGAATGAAAAAATATAGCTGTGTACTAAGCATTTATTCAAGTTTTTTTTTTTTGTTTATTTTCGAATGGATAATTTACAGAAATAACAATTTGCTTGAGCAGTAGCCGGTCCATCCCAATGTGTTGTCCAATCAGGTCTGTTGTAGTGAACATAGCATGGAAGTCGTATTTGAAGATCAAAATTGGATGTGTATTCTGCAGGCAGTTTGTGCCATATACTCAATAATTCTGCAGGTCTCACATTGCTTATTAAATATTCCAGCGGCGGAATATTCTTCTCAAACTCTTCTAATGTAAATTCCGATAATGTTTTATTATCCATCGTTGTTGTTGTTATTGTATAGAAATTTCAAACACAATTGTCCGCAATTAACTTGATTATAAGTTTGGTAAGGATCGTTGTTGTAGAAAATTTTAGCGTTTTTCAGATATCGAACAAGTTCCTGTGGAGGCTTCAGGTTACCAAATGAATCGAAATACTCAACGTTGTTGTTTATCTTTTTATAAGCTACCCAATGAGTTCCGTTGTTTTGTGAAATATCTAAGTTCACGACGGCGCATTCTCTTTTACGTGGACCGTCTCGTGGTAAAGTGTCACGCATGAAGACACCTCGGAAATGAGGTATGTTCAAGAGCTTCGCATATTGCTTTATTTCATAATCATAAAGCGCTTTCTTGGGTAGCTTGATGTTTAGTTTTTTTGACTTTTTTTTTTGAGGTACAACCCATAACCACCTTTAGCATTTTTTCTCAAATACAATCCTTTGCCCAAAGACTCCATAGCTTTGTTATGGCGATGGTCTTCCTCCAATTTCTTTTGTGCATTCTTGGCATCAACGACCGTTTTGGCCACACCTGCAGCTCCCCCTGCGAGCGCCCCCAAGGCACTTAATCCGGCGAAAAGGGGGATCAAGGGTAGGAATCCCCCAGATTTTCCTTCGATCGGAATTATTCTCGGTAGTCGAACTTTATGTTTTCCACCTGCACTCTTCACCGCTAATCTTGCCGCTTTAAGAGCAACCAATGCAGACTTTTTTAATGTCGTGGTGGTGGGAGCATTTTTCTTCAAGGACTTTGTGATTTTCGTGAGAACACCTCGTCGAAAAGATGATTTCTTCTGCCCCATACCCAATTTTCGCTTAACTTTCATTGCGGTAGTTGTTAGCCAAGCTGCAGTCTTTTCTCCTAGTGAAGCGTCAGGTGCTTTTACACGTTCCCAGGCTCGGTTCTCAAGAATCCAATCAGCTTTGTGTCTGTCTTTCAAATTTTTGTATAAGGCGTATGCAATATCGTGGTCTCTTGCAGCACGATCCAATGGGTTCTTTCCAGGATCTCCTCGT